TTCAATTTCCATTGATTCGATATCCCATCGATATAATTCTTGAGCTTTGTTATCGACCGAATGAATTCTACTAGTGAGACTTATACGTAAAATAATTATACCTGAAAAGGCATATTACTATCATATACATGTATACATGTTATAATGTAAATCGACTTGAGAAAGTTTGATGAAATTTAGTTTCCTCACTTTTCTACATTGTACAATGAATATGAAAGGCACGCATTTGTATCTTTTTCTGTTCGACGGAACTAAAAGAATAGCAAAAAAAAAAATCAAAATTGTAATAAAACACAGTTCTGACAAGACAGTTGTCATTGATATATACGCTGCTTTATGTAATGTTTTCACTGCTCAGTTCTGATTTGTTTCCATATTTGTATAAGTACAGAAGCTGTGTTCACATTCTACACAACATAACAGAAGAATTGAAAAGTTGTTCTCTTCTTTTTTATTATTAGCGTTTGAAATGTATTTTCTTCAAGGTGTGGATTCTCTTTTATCACATAAATAAGAACATGTACACTCGTTACACTGATTTTATCATTCTCACAGCGAAATAGTGTTGTGATCTCCAGCTGAGTTGACACAATGTAAAACAGTGAGTATATTTCACATTGCAATGAAGAAAACGAGAAAATAGCGCTTGAGGAAATAAACTCGAAACGATTGTGTGGTATGAATAAGTGGGTAAATGCCTAGGTCCGTGTCAAAACAAGAGAGTGAATAGATACCATGGGCGGATCGAAAATCATCAGTCCAATAAAAACTAAAAATAACATGTCAAAAATGAAAAACGAAAAAAAGGTAAAACAACAATAATAAAACATTACTTAGAAAACTAAAGTCTGATCAACACGAACCCCATCAAAACCGGGGTGAATTTAGGTGCTGCTGTTACTTTCAATTCTAGTTCCATAGGATCGATTATGCATGAAACGCAAATCTTCTGGTTATTTTGAAATTATACAAGTGTACTTCACACGTATAGCGTTGGATGAAAACAGGCAAAGACCGACATTTGTAGACTAATGATGACTGAATGTTAACTTCTAGTTCATCCTTACGTCTCATTTTGTTAATACAAATAACATTTGGAAGGTAAACGTTAACATACAGGAAAGCAAAGCAAAGAGTTAACGAATAGACAATTTCATGTACACTTTGACACGTTTTGTTATTATAATTTCTGTTTGAAGATGTAAAGCATAAGTACCTTGTTGCAATTTCCGTCTTTTCTTCATTTTCCGTTTAATTTTTGGTAGATGAAGAAATTTTGGTACGGTGGCAGTTTGCTAAAAACATAAAAATGAATAAAATATGCATATATTATCATATTTGTTACTATAGAAGTATTCAACAAAATGGGTTTGACAACGGAGGGTGGGGAGTATTAACGTTATTTCTTTGTTTGTATTTGTGCTATAAATCATAGGCTATTATCGGGAAATTTGGTGATACACTGTCAGTTATATGAATCTGGTCTTTTGGAGAAAATATCAAAGATGACTCAATGCCTTAGTTTCATAAAAAAAACACGTTGTTGGAAACCTTTTCGCTAATTAACACTCCGTACATTGTAGTTATATTAAATGTTATAGGCGGATCCTTTGCAAACCTTCGGACAATGGACGATATGGTATTTTTCACTATTTATGACGTTGCTTTATGACAAGTATTAGAATGCCAGAAGACTCCGTTTCACTAACAGTACATTTGCATTTACGTCAGATCTGATGACGTATCGGGTGATTTTTTTTCACAACTTGACCAAATTAAATTCTTTTAACTGTGTATTGTGTTGTGGGTACTTGTCTATTGTTCAAGGCAATAATATCATCTCTAGATGGCTGATTTTATTTAATCTGTTGGATTGCAATGCTGTCTCAATGACATGTCCTTAAATTGTGATTGTTTCCTTCTTTTTTAAATGTAAATTAAATTTGTTTTGAAATCCAAAAGTATCTGCTCTACAGAGTTTTTATAGATAGAATCATTAGAAGTGCATCATTATAATAAATACACCGTCATTTTGAAAACTAAGCCTAATATAAACCGTTACGCTTCGCATGCTATGTTTGGTAGAGACTTGCATAATTTAACCTTGATAAAAAAGAGAAAAACCTACTACATGCTATGATTTACACACAGCTAATTTCATTGCAAGTTTAAATTACATTTTCTAAAAAAAAGAGAAAAGAGGTTATTAGTACATTTGAAACTTGTTCTAATTACTCAGCGCCGATGAAATATATAAAGTGTCTTCTAGAATAGCTGCGTGCGTTAATCAAAAGTTGAATCGAATAATTTTTATGTATATATACAAAAAGACCCATTGCATATATTTCAACAAACTTGTCATAATAACTTGGCAGGATGTTTTCTCTCAGTATGTACTGGATAACTATGCAATCAGCCCATTTTAGACTAAGCAACTCCATAAGGCTGGAAATCTAATGGCTAGTCACATATGGGCATCCAGCTTTCATGTTTTGGGAATTATTCGTTCCTTATGCCAGTGGGTCAAGAGATGCGCTTCGGACGACACGTGACGTTTTTATAGTGTTGTTTTCATTTTGTATACTCTTATATTTATTTTTTACTTATTTTGTATTTTATAGGAAAGTGTATATGTCATTATTCTTTACTTTACTACTGTATTATCAACTACAAACACTTGTTTGCTGGCGTCTTTGTTTGATTTAATAGTATGTGTGTAAGAATGTTTAATTCAGTTGTGTTGTATGTCTGTAATGTATGTTTCCACAGTTTTGGCTGCTTGATCCCAGTTATGGCCACGTTAACCAATTATGTCTGTTTGGGTAACTCACTCAATTTTGCAATGTTACGGACATTAAATAACTGTCATACCAGTGGGCGATTTAGCTAGCTAGAAAACCAGGTTTAACCCACCATTTTCTTATGAAAATGACGCTGCCAAGTCAGCAATATAAATTTTATTTTCCTGCGGTTTATTTTAAACAAAATCTTTATTCCAATTTTTCCAATAATCACCAAGGTCCTTCGTTTTATAAATATGACTGTGCATAAAAATTAATGGAAATCAGATGAGACAATCTTAACTTCATACGACAATCAACTTATGCAGGACGGACAGACGGACTTATTGTGATAGGGTAACTAAACAGTGTGTTATTATCAAATAATCAGATTCACTGGCATTGAACTATCATAGCCCCATTCAAAAACAAAACTGAAGCGGAATAAGTCATGAAAATCCAATCTTTTGATATATCAATTACAAATATAAATTATCATGTGTCTAACGAATGATTTGATCGTTTTCGTGGATATTTTCAATAACAAATAGCGCCAAAGATCTTTTCCGACCCTTTTCACAATCATCAAATAGTGATACTCGATCTTTCACGATCTGAAATATCAATTCTTTTCAAATATTCCCATTTTTGCAAAGTTTCCGATTAAAATAAAACAAAATGACTCCCACCATTTTCAACAGTAATATGAAACGATATTTTTATTAGGAAAGTAGTTTATGCATTCTAAATATGAAAAAAAAAACATTATGTTTGTTTACATTTGTATTTCTTTGAAATTATATGAGTAGTCTGCCTTTTGTAGTTATGTAAAAACGGTTTACTTTAAACCTTGATTTTTCCCAGATACTGATCATAATGTTGAACAATTTTGACAGAGAGTTTTATTTTTCCAATATTTGTCATTATACTTCATTTGATTAGATTATATACTGACGTTGCATGTGTCTACTCGATAAGATTTCCTTCACGATCCTATATCAGATCTTTCACAATCCAATCGCAATACTTGTCCTCCGTTACTAATTCTCTCACTATCATTTTTCTTGATATACCGAAAGACAGCCTTGGATATATAAATTAGTAAGGCTTTTAAATAAAAATATTCAGTGTACAGAAAGAAATGAATTCACATCGTTTGTTTACAAACAGGAAATTTCGTATTGTCTTTATACTGAATGCTTGCTTCAAATTGTGTAATACATTTTTTGTTATTATAGATGATTAAAAAAATCTCTTTTGAAAAATTGTATCAAATCAATGAAATTCATGGAAGGATTGACAAATATAATCAGACTAAAATAAGTTGACATTTAGTTTTCTATGTCAACATGTAGTTACTTACATTATCACGTGTTCCCCATGATTGATCCACAATGTTACAGATAGCATAGAGAGGTAGTATCATATTCATAAATGGAATAAAGAACAAATAGACTACACCCGTTACCAATATCCACATATCTGTTGGGTATAGCAAAGCTCCATAGATGTAACTACCAAGTACAATCATTACCAAAAAGCCCTCTGCGTGCTCGAAATGTCCAACTTGGAAGCCTAGTTTGTAGAAGTATAGACATTGACAAAATATTCTACAGAATGATATATGTAATTAGATACAAATACATGTAATGATTATTTAAATTTCAATAAATTGGCTTGCAATTATATTTATGTTTCGATTATGTTCTGTAAAATTTAATAAACATTGCATATGTTCATACCTTGTCAGCACTTGTCTTTTAATGTTTATGTCCTTAAAGAAGTTTGGTATTGATAGATCTTTGACACTCTTTGTTAAATTGTATCACAGCGGATTTACAGCATAATACAAAAAAAAAAAAACCAGACTCTTGTTAAAACCCCGTTCAAGGAAAACAAACATGATTTTGTTGTTTTATTTCTATTGTTCACCTTCAGATGTCTGTTTACACATTTGGTTTGTTTGTTTACTGCTCTAGTGTCGTATACCCACATCCGGTATCCATAAATGGATGAACTAAATAGTTATACAAATGCCGTGCTTACTTCGAAAATAAAACCAATGGTACATGGTTTTGGTTGGCTGATTAGAGTAGAAAATCTTAAACGTATTAGAATTTTCAGGTAAAATTAAAATAACCATGGAACCAATTCTACTAGTTGTCAATTATGAATTATTACTTTCATATTTGCAATCTATTGATATAACTAGATGGTATTTTAGCGGCCCTCATTGTAGGTTTTGCCAGGATAACTTTCTGCAGTAGTGAACCGTTCCAATCATATACTTACAAAAAGCTGTTTGTTTTTAAAATATATCAACACAAAATAAATAATTTAGAAAGATTTTCATAAACTTTTTTGTATTTTATTTTCCATTTCCCCTTAATGTTTATACACAACTACAACAGTGTTATTTTCATTGTATGTAAGTAAAACAATGTCATGCTACCTACCTTTTGCCAAGTCTTCAAAAATAATAACAGTAGAAGCTACAAATATGTAGACTGTTCCTGCTCCAAAGACCATGATCAAAATTTTTGTGATAATCAACTGTACTGTTGAAGCAACTTCACTAAGTAACATCAAGCAGTAGGCAAAAACTATGGCAACTATCACAGGAGTTACATTGGTGAGAGGTGCACCAGTCGCCAATTCCAAACCGAGACACAGCATTACGATTGTAGACCCAGGATATAAAAGCATTATAAGAAATAGTTGCAATAAGTAAAGGGCGTAAAGAACAGAAAATGCATCGTTTGTGGATAGCAAGGCTCTAAGCTTCCGAATAACCAATACGGCGTTTGCATAATCTGACAGTAACCACCTACGACGTTGCTTCATGAACTCATGCGTATCTTCTGGGCAGAACGTAGTATTTCTAGCATTACTTGAATATCTTAATTTCCATCCTTTCAACATCAATAACGTACACATCCATCTATCTTCACCTGAAACAATAAATTGTATATGCCATAAAAATACTTAAACGCGTCGATGTTTATTCCTCTGTTCTAAAAGGTCTGTTCTCAATGAAATATGTATTTCTTTTCTTTGTGGGTCTACGAGACCGATCTGTGAGTTAATGTATGCAGATGTATGCAGTAAATATTTATATATCTGCGTGACGTCAGTTTCAAACGTATGATCTGTAAAAATTGACGAGTGATTATTAAAATATATGATTTAAATATTAAGTTATCCAAATTTAACGTGTTTGATTCGAGCATCACTGATAAGTCTTTTGTAGACGAAACGCGCATCTGGTGTGCAACATTTTAATCTTGATATCTATGATGAGTTTATTTACAACCACTGGGTCGATGCCTATGCTGGTGGGTTTTTTTTTCCAAGGGTATCACCAGCCCAATAGGCAGCACTTCAGTGTTGACATGAATAATCTTTAATATGGACATAATTATGAATTAACTGTTTACAAAACTTTGAATATTTTTGAAATACTAAGGATTTTCTTCCCCAGGAAAAGACTAGCGTAGCTTTATATAGGAAAACCTGTCGGAATTTGGGTCCTCAATGCTCTTCAACTTCGTACTTTATTTGCCCTTTTTTACTTTATTTTTATTCGAGCGTCACTGATGTAGACGAAACGCTTGTCCGGCGTACATATTTTAATCCTGGTATTTATATTGAGTATATTTACGGACTTTATATAGGGAAAGAATTTTGAAGAATATTGAAATGTTGAATGTTGCAAATGTGTCCTCAAAATAGATAACAATTTTTAATACCGTTGTCTTTTGTAAATACATCTTCCATGTTTTCTACTGGTCCCGAATATTCGTCAACAACTTCTCTAACAGCATTTAGTTTATACATACTAAAACATCCTGGACAACACATAACTGTACCAATAATGTTCTGTGAACTTTTGATTATCCAGAAATCTAAAAGTACAATATTTTGAAATTAAAAAAGGATAAAAAGTAAAATAACAAAAATACCGAACTCCAAGGAAAATTCAAAACGGAAAGTCCCTTATCAAATGGCAAAATTAAAAGCTGAAATACACCAAACGAATGGAAACAACTGTCATATTCCTGACTTGGTACAGGCATTGCCTTATGTAAAAAATAGTGGATTAAACCTGGTTTTATAACTAGCTAAACCTCTCACTTGTATGACAGTCGCATAAAATCCATTATATTTACAACAATGTGTGAACAAAACAAACAGACATAACAGGTAAAAATGTCAAAAATAGCGGAGTAAAGTAAGTGTAATGCACTATATGAAAGGAAATTACTCAAAACAAAATTTAATTGAACATGAGCTTTATACTACATGTGTATTAGCATTCATCATAGCATAAATTTGTGGTTATCATTGACTAAGCGAAAATACTAACCAACGTTGGAAACATAGTGCACAACCGAAAGGAGGCTGCACTTTGTCTTCATCCGAGGCTACTACTTTGCATAGTCAGTTGTAAATAAAACACTATTAAGATTATACTTACAGTCAATATTTACAAAACACGTATTAAAAAAATTATTAGAATATCCGTTATTGGAACTATTGCGCGAACCCAAGAAAAAAATGTTAAATTCTCAAAATGCTACATACGATTTTATTTTAGACAAACGACAATAATTAATTCTTTACCTAGAATAATCAATTTTATGGATACAGACAACAACTGCACTAAGCATCTTCAACTAACGTGAACAACTATAATTGATTGACAGGTAGAACCCAATCTAATCACAACAGCTGTACTGACTATAAGGCTATGATAAACTTTTCTGGAAATAATTCATTTAAAAGGGGCATTAGCTACGAGATTTAAAATCAAATTAAAATATGATTTTTTGTTCAATCATTAATGAAAGCGAAATAGTAAAATAATAATTCGCTTTTAGCAGCCAATTTGGTTCTATTTTGTCAAAATAAGCTAAGAAACATTGCTGATGAATTATTCACTTGTAAGTGAATAATTCGACCTCATTAAATCCGTAATCATGTTACCTTTAATTTAACCCCTTAGCTGGAGATGGGTTACGCATGTATTCAGCTATTAAAAGGAAAAGAATGTCAACGTTGAAAGTGAAACAAAGATGAACCATTTGGTTGAATGATTTGTTCCACAAAATATCATTAATATACAGATAAAAACGATGATAAACATACTTTCTAATCTATAATATGAAATCAAACAGACCTAGACAAATCCAATGGCACGTGGTTTCTATCTATTTAAATTAATATTTATGTTTATATCGGGATATATGACCGTCGGCAGTCTTCGGAGGTCATCTCGATGGCTAATTAGATGACGTCTAGACAAAAATACACATGAAATGTTGATACATATCATCGAGCCCATGCATTGTTAATTGTTTATTTTAGACATTTTGTAATTTGGATACACGTTGTAGTATGTTATAAATCAAATATGAGAATTTGAGTCAAATCGGTGAAAATAAAAATTTATAATTTATCAAAAAAAAGTAATAAAAAAATCATAATTATTCATAATATAATGGTATTGTATTACAATGCAACATGTTTACAATGTGAATTCAAGACATGTATATTGCCCTTTTTCATACAAACTGCTTTGCTAGTAATGGTTTCCAATAGTGTTTTAAAAATATTGCCGAATTTCACTATGAAATCTATCGTATAGTTGCTACTGATTTATAAACATATAACGGTCAACAAATATGAATTTAATAACACAAATTTATGTTAAAAATAAAAGTAATGTATTGACTTCTTGAATCAACATTTTGCCATATGAATTTTAAAAAATGGACAATCATGTAAAACTCTTTTTAGTTATGAACTGCTAGTTTGCGTTCGTTTCCTATCACGATTCTGTATTATAGATACAATGAATCAACGCTTATCCATTGTATCTCTAACATAAACTATTGTGTTGATGTCTTGTCAAAACTAAAGCCTATTCTTAATTAGAAAGTATTGTAAGTCAGTTTAAATAACCATGTTATCATTTTTAACGATGCATTAATAAATATAATTTCAATTAATTGGTTAGAGAAACACAAATATAACACAACATGTCTGTCTCTAAATTATCAGGCATCTGAATATCATCCGTAATTTACAAAGTTACATATTCGAACTTATTTCTAAGTATATATAATAAGTATGCTACTGAAAATTCCATCAAGAAGCCTAATTCTAGGCACATCACTATTCACTTGCCTAGAGATTTGCGATTAAACATTTGTAAAGATATGTAGTAAAAAAGAAAAAGTATACTATATTTATAAATCCTGAAAAAAGGACAAATTGAATGTAATCATTTTCTTTTCAAGTATGTGAAATAGCCAATAATAATCCAAAAATAAACGAGAAAACCGGCTATTATAACGTAATATCCACAGTAAGTGTTATGTTCCAATTGTCGTAGCAGTTCACAGTTACGTCATCTGTTCCTTGAGGCATTGTGACATCACCGAAGCCTTCGGGTTTATATGATCCGTTCATCCTATTTTGACTCCTCAAAATTCAAGAGTCTATCGTAAATTGAGGTAAATTGTATGGCTTTCCAAATACCGTTTCGATTCCTAACATCACTGAAGAGACATTAATTGTCGAAATTCGGATATGGTGTACAAAAACCTTTGCACCTTTTTTAAAATTTATAATTAAGATACATTTATTACATCGGTGATCCGTTTATTTGGCAATCGCCAATGGCAGTCAGCAGGGTTTAGGAACATTTGTTGTTCGACCTGTTAGTCAAATGCGTTTTGTTAAAATATACTTTTTCACTTTTTTGGTCTTTTGGAAAATGTTGTTTGTACTGTATTTAGACCCCTCTAACAAGAAATTTGTTTTGCATGCACACGTATAAAAATTGCGGTTTTTATCCAACGCAATCATAGGTTTGAACGTTGTTTTCAATTTAGACTTGTATATATAGCAATATATATTTAGTAATGATTTTTTTTTAAAACAAAATAAATGTTAGTACCGATAAATCAATATTTAAAGATTTGACCATTTTGTCAAATTGATAACCCTTGCGAATAAGTTTATTTAAAAGATTAATCAGTTGAACTGGAAATGGACATGTATTGATCTGTATACTCAAAACGTTTAAAAAATAAACGATATTGAAAAGGACATGTATAAATCTTTTTATCATATACTACCAATGTACGAACACACCAGGCTGATACTCATATTAGCCCGACCACATGACGTCACATAGAGCTGATAAGCGTTATCATCTCGACCACGTGACGTAATATAGGGCTGATATGGGTTAGGTTATCAGTCTGTATGTGAATTTACGGCTAGTATACTTCCGCTCGTTACACATATGCAAAAACTATCATATTAATGCTAAGTAAATGATAATATTTGTCTTTTAATCAACTTTTTTGTCTTTATAAACGTACCATTGTCGTATATTTTCCGGAATTTGCCAAGTGACGATGAAATGCCATGCGATAACGTTACGGAAAGGCATGCGATAATAACTGGAAGCAGTGAATAAATGTTATATATCAGCCCGCTAAGCACCATTTCGGAAATATGGAATTTACGAAAATTTTATGCTGTTCTATGATGAGTTTATTTACAACCACTGGGTCGATGCCACGGCTGATGGAGTTTTTATTCACAGAGGGTATCACCAGCCCAGTAGTCAGCACTTCTGTGTTGACATGAATTATCATTGAGATGATACATTTTTAAATTCTACGGCTTTTCTACCTCAGGAATAGATTACCTTAGCTGAATTTGGCAAACATTTTAGGAATATTTGGTCCTCAACGCTCTTCAACTTCGTACTTTATTTGGCCTTTTAAAATGTTTTTTATTCGAGCGTCACTGAGTCTTTTGTAGACGAAACGCGCGTCTGGCGCAAACACAAAATTTCAATCCTGGTATCTATGATGAGTTTATTTACAACCACTGGGTCGATGCTACTGCTGGTGGAGTTTTTACTCACCGA